ACTCTCCACTTGAGGAGTAAAATCGTCTAGTGTTAGACAGAGTAAAATACTAAAGTAGGGTGCATCAGGGCACATTGCCACTTAAAGGGTTTAAAATACAATGTTTTTGTACAGTCGTACTGTATTTTATGTTTGTAAAAACCTTTATACTTTTATACCTTTGGTGATGTTCCAGGACTCTGAAACAAAGTTCGACTTGATGTTGAATTCTTCAAACGTGAAATTCTGTGTCTCTTATTTAATATTAGGTTTCCCTAGGGTATATCCTTTTAATAGACGTATATACCCTCGTATATACTCGCTTTTAATATGGCAGTATCATTTCATTCGTCAACAATGACAACATCACTACTATCTGCATGATTCCATGTCCGAATTCTATAACAAAATGACAAAAATACAGTAAACTAACATTCTGACCTTAATTTTATAGGTAACATTACACTCAAAATATGTAACAACTACATGTGTATGTTTCAAAGATTATAAAAGATATCATAGAAAATAGTTTCCTTCGCGCCATAATGATCAACACCCGATCTATTCCCGCCATCGGCATTAAAATATAGCAAAAATACCCCATTTTCAAACCGCGATTGCTTGTCAACTTGGAGGAGCAATTTAGCGTTTTAAAGAACGAACAGAAAGAGCAAGTCTTCCTGAATTTGACAACGTGATTTTTTTTACTTTTTTCATTAAAAAAGGTAGTTCGCTCCTGGGTTATTTCAAAGCCATTTTCTTGGCGTGTCCATTGACCCGAAACAAGCATAAATACAATGCGTAATTAGCATAACTAAAAAGCAATATCTATACCAAAAAAATATAAAACTGTTTAATTATATGTCCAAACAAAACAATTATCATCACATACCTTCGAAAAAACGAGATCTTCAGAGCCAAAAATCGCAATATATTTCAACAACTTTTTCGTTAACGTTTGCCAAAAATCGTAATTGTGAATAATAATGAGATGCAATGCATTGTGGGAAGACCCTCACTCCTCCTCTGGATTCTGTCTGTATACAGTACTTGTAAAATGTTTTGAAGACCCTTTCTTGGCTGTTACAAAAAATAGTCATGTCTAATTCAAAATCTAACCAATTTAAATGAAAATTGAACCTTAATTTAAATATTTATAATAATATAATTCACCTGATATAATTCCTGCTGTATAATATTCTTCAGACACATGTTATTTTAAACCATTCTTGAAATACTTGTTATATATTTCTAGGACAACAATTGAAAAGATCTCTTTTCGAGGTCCTCCAAGGTCTTGTGCTGTCTACAAAAAACATGGATAGATAAATGTTTTACAGTGCATCTACTGTAAATGGGACCACTTACACAACAGTAACCAATCACATTGCAGAGCAAAAATAGAAAATCACTAAATGATGCATTCGCCAATCAGCATGCACTACGCCAAAAACAATGTCGATTTCATAAGTGTAAAATGTCATTTGAAAAAGTCAACAAATATCGTAAATGGTAATAGTTATG